ACCGACCTTCGCGGTTAACTTACTGCTGTGTCGCAGTCGACTGCCGTCATTGCCGACAACGGCGATACTTTCTGGAACGCTGGAACTGAGCAGATGGCAGGCTGATGCGGAAGCCGTGCCAACAAGCACGTTGTGGGGGACACAAACTGGCAAATGCCCTTGTCCAGCATATTTGTAACCCCGAAACTGGCTGCAGCAGCACCGCAACCAGAGGACAGGTCGCGAATGGTCTGTGCCGCTTCGATCTCTTCGTTGGTGAACATTGACTGCAAGTGAAACAATAAGATCCTTCAAAACGCATCAAGGCAGCAGCAACACAACAGCGAGCACGAAAGACCAATGAAAGCGGCAACCAAGAACCTTACCAACCTTAGTTATGACGAACTGCTCTGAGTTCCTTCTGTGACTGGTGCACTTTTCAGAGAGTTACACTGATTTTTTGCCTCCATATCCTACAGCCCACCTCTAATCGATGAACCGTACTGCGGTGCCAAGAACCCACTCCTTTCAGCCACAGACGAAAGTGTCAACTAAGGCCGAATGAGAGACTGGCGCCAACCCACCCACCATTTAGTTCGACCTAGTTAAAATTCAGCCGACCAACGTCATGCACACAAACACAGAGGAATTCGATTCAGAAATTCGGTAATAAGCATTTGCATGTACGGTGCTCAGCTTGATGCACACAACGACTGGCGCATGTTCACTTACTTCTTGAGGAAAAAATATCGAGTGAGGTGGTGACTCGCCGTAGTCGTTGTTAGCCGTCGTTATGCGTAACGCATCAGCCGGTCCGCCGCTGCCTTGAAACGCCGGTCGATTGCAAAGGTTCATGTAGTAGGTCATGACTGCAGGTCCAACTTCGTAGGAGGCGCTAAGGTTCGCCTGTCTCGTCTCTGAAGGAAACACGAAAAGCAGAAGTTGGCGATGCTGGTCTACAGTGAATCAATACCTACACCGAAGATGCGAACTAGTAGGTATCCAAGCTACTAACAACACAAAGACTTCCACTGAAACAAGCAAAAGAATCAGCACTCGTCTACCAAGCACATGCTCAACCAACTACACACGAAAGATCCTGTCATTCAATGCACAGAACACTGGAGTACTTTAAAACGATTGACCAATCAGAACCTGAGAGTTATAATTCCCGCCAATTACGAATAGTAAATGGCGTGACAGGTAGCCAATCAGATAAATAAGCTTGGAAACTTCCAGGTGGCCCTACAGCCTACATCAGCCCTGAGTAAGAACTGCTTAGTTAATTTTTAACATTAGTACGCTGCAAACATCTGCACCAAGTTTATGCGATGAACCATTTTTATCATTTACCTGTGTCTCTCGGACATCTAATTACGGACCTGTCAGTCGAAAAATTATATTTTTCAAGACTGAAAGCGCAACTTTTCATGTGCGAGTGAAATCCCGCTTCATTTACTGCTGTTGAAGCCTCATACGTCTACAACAATTGCATTTTCACACGGTACTTTGCAATCAATACCATTACATGGATTAACCATTTAAAGTAAGATGCTTAATTTAACGCCTAGCTCTACTTCGCTCTTTGTTGTTATTTGACCAAACTATGAAATAGTTAGGAAGTTTGTTAATTTGAAGTTAGAAATTCAAGATACAATTTCCATGTGAAAACAACATGTTAGATGGACATGCTTTAGAAACATAGATATTATTTTATCACGTGATCATAGCTATGGCAAATGCTGAAGCAGCGTAACTTCATTCTGCCGATCAGTCTTAACGAAAAACGCAACAGAAATTGTCAGATAGCTTCAATTTTTACCAGAAAGTGAGAGATCTTATTAGATTACTAGCTAAACGGAAAAGACGACACACTAGTCGAAAATACTTGTTGTCGTAGCTATCGATTTTTGCCATTTTCAAGCACTTACCTGCAAGAAGAAATGTTTTAACGTTTTCGAAACTTTTAGCTGACGGATAATAAGGCAACACTGGCTGTGCTCGGCACTGCGACCATAGAATATTCCTGGCATATAAAGTCAAATGATCAAATCTGTGGACCGGAATGCTATGTTCAACAAATACTGCAGGCAATGAAATAAAAACACTAATGCATCTCAAACTGCTGAAACATCTGCAATAACAAATATCAGGAAACTGATTTTTAAATGATTTAATCGCTTGGCAATCAAATTTCATGAAATCAGTTCATCTATCTTAGGACGGTTTGTTTGCGTAGAAACTAAGACTTCATGATGATCAGTAGCTCCATGGTTTCCACCATTGAAAAGGCTGGCCTACATGTGGAATAGCTAGCTTTTATTTCCATAAATGTAGCATTATGCTCCCACTTTCAGTGAAATATGATAATCTGAAGTCCGCTGTTCATTTTTTGTCTCAGCTTATGCAGTGTTTCAAGAGAGTTGAAGTTACAAAATGAAGCATTTAACGATAGGTCGAACAACATTGACTTCATTTTCAATGCAAATTAGGAAAAAAATTGCATGGAGCAATACATCAAGATTATACTGCAAATACTGTTTCAAAGCAGTCCTAGAAAGCGCAGACTCTGAGAGGAGTGGAACAAAATGAGATATAACATTATGACCTCTGGCCGACCGGTACGGAAGAAATATTCGGTCGAAGTTGATAGTTAGAAGTCAACGTCCCACATCTACATGAATTACTTCAGGTGTTGCAAAATTTTAAGCCATCTGTGTAAATTAACTAAGCTTAGTATACGTCATGTTTCCGAAAGGGGAGCAAAGCGTTTGCTTATTAATTGAGTTCGCCAAAAAATTCGTAATTGTGCTATGCAATTCATTTTATCCGTTAATTTGGAGGTTGTATCGTTAAATGCTACCTTAATCACGCAACATATATTAATATTATTATATTTGGAACTTATTTTAAAAATGTTTTAGAAATTGACTCTGAAACTTGATTCTGTTTGCTGGATTTAAGCCTAAGGAAACGTCGGAAAACATACGGAACCTACTAATGCGGGTGAATTAGCTACTGTCATCAAGATCGTGCCATAAGGCTGTCATGCAAAAAGATCTTAGAGAAAGAGTGTTTTGGTTTAGTGTTGTAGTTTACCATTTGTCGATTCTCTTAATTTTATGAAAAGTAAGCAGTTTCCAATTGCTTTAAGATCAAAAGATAAACGATTCCGTCAACGGGACGGAGCTTTCACTTTCGACGTACTGTTCTTAATAAAATAAAGTGTTATTCATTGAACTGAATGTGACAGTTAGTTAAAATTTTTTTGATTAACTTGACATTTTATAGTTTTAGAGTTGCCTGCATGGATCAAAACGCTTCTTTAAATTATTTCGGTTTTAAGTTTACCTGCAAATCAAAAGCTCAACGGTATTCTTATTATACGGATCATTATCGGCGAAAATGTTGCAGAAAGTTATAAGGAAGAATTGTGTAAGTCTTCTGTGAAAGAGTTGTACTGTTTGTAACAGCTAGATTATTTTTTTTTACATATTCAAGCATTTATTCTGGCGGAACAGCTACTTGCCTGAGAAACCATGTTCATCGACACTATGCATTTGCTCATTTTGGTCATGAACTTTACAATTAAGATAATGATGTTAGGCTATAACTCCTTGTGATATAAGTAGATATTTGAATACTTGTAGATCTGAGCTGCAGAAGGCCATAACTTAGCATGTTAGGGGAATATATCTGACAGATGTCTAATTAATAATATAATCTGATTGAATAATTTCATCTAGTAATTTGCTCAAATGCGTAATTATCTATAGTGATGTTAAATACAAATTTACTCAGTTCGTTAAGAATTGGCTAAAGCGGTAGATCGGGCGCTGGCATTTCGAATGTGTCTCGCTGTGTTCAGGGTATTAAATTTTAGATGTTTTGTCATCTGACTGCCTGGCACGTACATGTGCAGTCACTTATGGTGTCTTAGGGCTTCATCTTATGTAAAGCGTCTGAGAAACCTTCATGCACCACACTATGTTATCAGGATGTTTGTCTTAGCATGTATTATACCATTACCTGCATATTCATCGGCAGTTATTTTTCCATGCTCTAAAATACGACTTAAAGGCGCCAAAGCAATCACTCAAAAAGGCTGTAGGATAAGTAGCCTTTCACTCAGTGGTCTATTGAAGTACGTGGTTAATTTTGCGGTTTCTTACAATAGTCGCGTGGTTAAGAACATCCTGGAGAATAGCTCATGACAGTCGCTCACATTGTCTTTCGCGCACCGCACAACTAGATCTAGGTACGTCAATGTTTTTGCCAGAATTGAACTGTATTGAAGATTTATGATCTCAACCTCAACGCTCGTTCTACGTTGTTTCACGGGTGTTAAATTAGTTGAATTTGCTCAGTGTGACAGTTTTCTTCAAATTTGGCTCTACTGGCTATTCGTTGGTATCTGATTCTTTTTGTTACTTCTAAGCATGCAAATGCAATTCTGTTTTGTGATACATACATAGATGTCATATTTTCTGTTTTTCTGAAAAATGGAATTCTTTTGCGATCTCTTCTCGCATTAAATTTTTCTCTGTGTGATGGATTCCTTTACTTACTGTCTTTGAGCCCTTTCGAACACAATGCATCTGCGGTGAAGCAGTTTCTTTTCTAAGTTTCTAGAAATTCTTTTTCATTTTGTTGACTCTGTCGTAGATGAAGAAGCATACCAGAGATCTAGTTATTGGTATGGACCATTCCTCGTTTTTCTAAATCCGCTTTATTGCCATTTCTTCCTCTTCATTGCGCTTGATGAAGGGTGCGGAACGAACATCTCAAGGAAGAAACGTCGGGACTTTATCTTTTAATTAACGGCAAGTGACTTGTGCGAAACTGGATTTGAGATATTCTTATAGCTATATACCAACCATGGTGACGAGTCCGGAAGAAACAAGTTTGTAACTACCCCACCTGGTATCTGATTGCTGAAAACTTGTTTGTAAACTAAAAATTTTATAATCTTGCACCTTCATCTAAATCTTCATTTCTTAGGCCCGTGCTAACAAACTGCCGCTATTGTTTCATGCTTATTGTTGTTCCAGCTAATCCGCCACTGTTGCTTTCCGTTAAAATTGGAGCCCATTATTTGCTTATGTTGCGCCAGTTTGAACCTCGACGATGACTTCCGACTTATTCTTTTCTCGATGTTTCTTCGTGGATTCGTTTCAGGCTGCGAGTTTTTGGTTTCGTTTTATTTGTTTCCTGTCAGAATTTGCCTCACTGTCTAAGTCGAATTCTGAATTTCATTGCTCCTTGTCACCAGTGATTGATCTCTCTCAATTGACGTGAATTTCGCATACCTCCTTAGTATAGAACTTCAAGACTTTTCATAGTACAGGCGATCACATGACTGCGACCAGAAAAAGTTACATTTAAATGTGGATTGTCAACTGTAGCAGTTAATCAGCCAATAGTATCAGAATATTTGATCTGCGAGAGTGCGCCATACATGGAGCAGTACTACTGATCTTCCACGATTTGCGATTCATCATTGGGTTGCTTCCCATATTATACTACAAATAATCATGAGCTGAATTATAATAAATTTTTTCTCAAGTAAAAATTTTCTTTTTCTTTCGCCTAAGCTGTATGGTGCGATCGATATAAAACCTTTATCGAAGCAGTTGGGTCACTAGCGCATATTCTGTGATCATATCTTGTTCTGTACAAATCAATAGTTTAATTTTTTTAGTTTATTTCGCTGACTGTGCGAATTACATGGGCGTTTGTGCAGTAAAGCTGTGTAATGGTCATCCAGATATCTTGCAAGAGAAAGCGCAACATGCAATAAAACGGTCAAAGCAAGGAAGGTCTTATGGCGAAGACAGCATTCGAGTGAAACTCGTGGAGTCAGGAGGTGAAGCATTGACCAGGATAACAGCGCGCTTGTTTTCACGCGTGAATTCCAAATGATTGGGCAACCGTGTCGGTGATGCTACTTTACAAAGAGAGAAAAATAAATTGAAGGATTAAAGGCCTGTCAGTTTGTTACCAGTTGTTTACAAGATCTTCATGCTAGCGAACAGACTTCAAGAATTACTGGGCTCTGCACGGCCAAACTAGCTAGCATTATTCAGAAGTGAATATAATAAGATGGATCTTCTCAGTATGGTACAGTGATTCAGATAGACAATGAATATCAGCTTCCTCTCTGCCTGAGGTGTGTTGATTTTGGTGAGACTTTCGACCCAGTCTGCATCCAGTTTGAACTGGGTTTTTTGATGAGCCATGTAACCGAGGAGGTATATACAAATCTGATCGAAATGATGTAGTAGACTGCAGCTGCTAGCGTGAAGTTTCACGAATGAACAATCAAGTATAAAATTAAAAAGGGCGTTCGACAGGGTGATGCAACATGACCGAAGTTATTCATTGCAGCCTCAGAAGAAATTTTCAAGGCACTCAGTTGGGAAAATTAAGGTGGAAAGAGACAGACATTACTTTTCACGCTGGACGGTATTCTGGCTTTCTCTGGGCATCATATAAATAAAGGAGCTAAATGATGCCAACATGAAAGTTGGTGTGAGAATGATCCTGAAGGAATCTCAGGCCATGTTCAACAAATACATGATTCGTTCGACGTGTTGAAGTCAACGGACTCAGGCTTGAAGAAATTCAAGACTGCATCTCTCTGGGACAGCTTATCTCTGCATCGGAGAATCGAAGTGTTAGACCGAAGAATGAAACTGGCATGAAGCACTTTTAAAAGAATGAAAATGTTCCTATTTGGTATATTGCCCTTGTGCTTGAAACGGAAAGTCTTCGGTCAGTATGTGTTCCCAGTGCTAACTTGGAATACGAAACGTGGAACTTTAGCCTGAAAGCTATTCATAGACTGCAGACTACACAGCACAGCATGGAAAGGTGTATGTTGGGAGTAACAAGTAAA